ATAAACCATTTTAAAAAGAAATGAACTATCACCACTTTGATCTTCATTTGTTTCACCTGAGTGCATTTTCTCAAGCTTTCCTGTATCTTCTTCAAAAGAAATGTCGTGAACCTTAGGTGAGAATGAATATTTAAAGTTACAAGTCTATGCCTATTGCATGAGAAATTAAGAAAAGTTCCAGTTGATAGTTTTCACCTCACATAATGGTCAAACAGAAAATAATTATTCCCGGTCCTTGACAGAGGCAGATTTATTGATTCATTGTAGACATTGGCATTAACAGCTTTTTAAAGTACCAGGAGACCTAGCTGAAGTATTCAGAATCCACAAAAGTCAACCCAGATGACTAAGGGGAAGAGCATTAACAAACAGGATGTTGTGAAAGCTGATATCCTGCAAAAAATGGCTGAATGAGATTGATCCAAATTGCCTTCTCTCTTTTGTTGACAGTCTTTCTTGTGTTTTTTTCTAGACCATACAGAAAACAACTTCAGATTGATGGCGTCTCTTAGTTTACAGTGCTACTTTATGTCTAATGGCAAGATTGCATAAAATACCAAACAGACAAAGATAAGGCTGGCTGCTATGCACCTTAAGACCATTGGAATAGTATGTACTTTAAGCTCTTGATATACTCATTACAAAGAAGAAAAAAAAACGATGAATACACATACTTCAGGAACATATTCTGAACCCATTTCTTGTTTCTTCTTCTCTTCTTCCAGTTTCTCTAAAATTGTCTTTTGCAGAAGAGGTCCTTTCACTCCCCTCACAATTCCCACTGCTTTGCCACCCTGCATGTGCGCAATAAACAAAGGGGTTGAAGAGTAGTTTCTACACATTGCCTCGCAAAACTATTCACATCCTTCCTATGGTACCATCTTGCTAAATAACAAAAGCATACATACACATTTTTAACTTACTATCATATTCAAACCCTGGAGGTTGAAGCTGAAGTCTTCTAAGGATAAGATAAGTAACTGTAAATATCAAGAAATCAAATGAACTGGAATATGTTGATTGCATAAATATTCAGACCCAATGTTTGGGTCTTCCACTCAATATGTGATGGAAGCACCTAGCAATGACAGCTGCAAGTCTTTTTGGGTTTGTCCATAAAAAATTTGCTCACAGGAAAGGTACAATAGTTGCTCATTCATCTTGGCAGATTTTCACAGGCTCTTTCAAGTTGCTTGGGGATCACTTAAAGACCACGGTTTTCAAGTCTTTCAATACATTCTCAAATAAAATTCAAGACAGAACTTGGATTGTGCCATTCAAGGATATTCACGTTCCTGTTCTTAAGCCTCTTCAGTGTAGCTTTGGCCTTGTCCTTTGGATCATTGTTGTGATGGAAGGGGTATTTTCAGCCAGTTGTAGGTTTCTATCTATGCTCTACTTATGAAGAAAAACTGCCACAGCCATACTTAACATTGTCTCAGGTTTGCAGTATCACTTAAATACATTGTTGCAAACTCCAAGGGGGGGGTCACTGGGATATTGCTGACTCATGGGCATTTTCTCTCATCTCAGCCACTGAACTCTGTAGCTCTTTCAAAGTCGCTGTTAAGATTAGGAGGTAGCCCTCCTTGCCTGGCTGCAGTTTTGGGAAACAGCCTGATCTAGGGAGTGTCTGTAGATCTTTCACTTTTTAATAATCAGCTTTCCTATGCTCAAAGAGATATTTAAGGTCTATTAATTGTTTTTATACTTTCTCCTGATCCAGACCTTTCTACAACTTTATTCTTCAGTTGTTTTGGAAGTTCATTGGTCTTCCTGGTTGAATCTTTGCTTGAAATTCACTGCCTAACTGAGGGACCTTACAGAGATGGGTGGGTTTATTGTGAAACCGTGCATTCCACTATTTTTGTACAAAAATCAGTGGCCATGCAACTATTTGTATATGTCTTTTTAAGTGCACTTAAATGTATTTAGAAATGCCACAACAAATGGTTTGAATATTTACCTAATCGAGAACTTTCCATTTTTCTTTAATAATAATGATGTATTTAATTATTTCTTTTGTTTACCTTGAATGTGGAAAAATCTTTGAAAGCAAGAATGAAATGTACTATGAATATCTTATTTTGAATGTTGTTTTCAATAGAAGATACTGCTGCTCTAGAATCAGCCCAGGGAAAAACAGCCAGTTATACATGAATGGGCTTAATGCGATATCCTACCCTGATATGCTAAAAGAACTGAACCTTTTTAGTCTTGAACAGAGACGACTATGAATTAACCTTATTTGAGTACTCAGACTCCTGAGAGTCATTGACAATAGTGAAACATGATTAACGGGAGGCGTTTTTTCCATGAAGGCGTTTGTGGATGAATGGAAGAATCAAACAAATAGCACTTAATTATCAGCTAGATGAGAAGAAGGCTTCCTATGATTTTGAACCATTCCTAGTTTCTGATGGTGATAATGACATTTCTGAACCACACTTACAGAATAAAAGAGGAAGACAGGTTCGCACTTCCCTTCAAACGGACATAGCTCTTCGACACTTTGAGCTTCAGCCTTTGAATTTAATGAACAGGTAGACATTACATTACACAGCTGCTCCACATAGCTTAGAACTTCTTACCATTCCAATGTAGCTAGACATTGTCAATGTTATAAAAATATAAGTAGGAAAAACAATCTTCAAAATATGGCAGATTAAAACAGCTCCAACACAAACTAAAATGTGTCTGGTGTTTTTCCCCTTTTTTATAATATGATCATCCAATAAATTGCAAGGTTAAGACACACCACAAAATGTAGTAACTGATACATGAGTAAGTTACACCAATGTTGTCTTAAAAGAAAAAAAAAATGTTTGTACACTAATACGAAATGAATGTCCCAAATGAGAAGTTAAAATGAAAAACTGTCAGCTGTACTAGTATGTCATTGGAGGTGCTGCTGGCTTGAAACCGAACATCCTGTGGCTCATATTTGACTTACAACAGCAAAATGCAGGAGGTCATCCCCATATTCCATTTTTATTTTTCTGAAGAGGTTTTGGACTGCTTTGCATGGCCCACACCAATTCTGATAGACATCTACAACTAAACATAGGAAAGTCATTTACAGTGCATGCAAAATATAACAGTAGAAGAATGGTCCAGACATGTTAATTAACTGATTCAAAAACTGCAAGTCTGGATTTTAACACTTAGGGGAACGGGGGTGTTTGTTTTCAAATGCTGCACAATCTTTTAGGGGACCCTAGAAGGGGACAGGTCCAAAACAGAACACTGCATATTAATCTGGTACAGTGGAATACTTCTTGTGCTGGTAGAATATAAAACACCTGGGTATAATGATAATTATTTATTCTCTCCTCCCCTTTACAAACCATAGTAAGGAACACAGGAGTGATAAAGCACTGAATTGTGATAAACTGCACATTTGTACAGTAGCTTTGTAATAATTAAAAGGCTGGGGCGTGGTTTGTTAAAACATCTGTGCAGAAGTCAGAAAAATGACGTTGACTAGAATTCTCAATGTGCAAATGAAATATGTGACGTCACTGTTTAATTATATTATATGATAATGTATAACGTATTTATTAAACTGGAATGAAGCTGGGCAGGGGCTATTCTGTTATTGTACCTAGAAGTAATTTTCATATAAAACTAAAATAAAAAAACATACAAAACAAATTCAGTGAGTTGATTTGAAAATGTTAAAGACAGAAGCATGACTTTTAGAACTATTGGTTACAATTATTAGGATTTGTGTATTGCTCCTCCTACATATAAATTGCTTTGGGATAAGAGACATGTGACAGGTCACTACAAAGCTAGCCAAACTGAAATGTTAGAAATTATAGAACAATGGAATTAAAGGGGAACTTCAGGGGAACCAAACTAACTCATGACCAAATCTGGTCATGTTTAGAGTGGAATTTAGCCATGACAGCAGGATTAACACCTTTGTTCATCTCATCCAAAGGATGGCACCTCTTACAGCACAATGTCCCCCATCATTATACAGGAGCTTTGGCTTGAATAGAATAGAAATTTGGTTTTCATTAATGGTCTCCTATCCAGGTACTGACCAGGCTCAGGAACAAGTATTACATGCAGCATATTCCATGGTGAAAAGAGAATGGAATAAACCTCTACTTTTTCCTTTGCAGTCTACGCATGCTGATGCAGCTACCTGCTTGAACTACTTCTCACCAGGCTCAGCCTTGCTTAACAGATCTAAGAAGATCTGACTACAAGGTGGTAACACTACTGTCTATTAACTACAACAATCTTCAACTTTTGTTCTGTAAAATAAGTACCTGTGAGACCTGGAGCAGACATTGCCTCATTCCATTGTTCCTGGCTTGTAATTTCGGCCTATGGAAAACAAAAAATTGGAAGTTGGACATACTGTATACAGTATCACTAACCTATTTTGTATATGATCAATTAAGTAAAAAATAGTAGTAGGAATTAAGAAACAGATAATGTTAGGATAAACGATTACAATTATACTCTTCAGCTTACAAGAGATGACTAATTGCCTTAGCCCATTTGAAATTTTGTTTTTTATGTAGACCATTCAGTATTCTTAGTAAATGTTTTTATATTTCCATGCTTTAGTACTGAAAAATAGCAAAATGGATAATACCTGCATTTCTTTTCCACTTAAGCTAGTTCTGACTGTACCCTAAAAGTCATCCAGAAATACTACAATCAAATGAACTTCAAGCATTGAAAGAGAATGATTTTGTGTCTGAAAACGCAGGGTCCATTTCCTTTTAAAGGAAGACAGAATGTTGACAAAATTAGTAAGCTTGATGACCTAAAGCTACGTATTAAATATCCATCCATATTCTAACTGTTTCGCCTAATTCAGAGACGCAGGAGTGCTGGAGTCTATCCCGACAAGCAACTGGGTGCAAAGCAGAGTACTCCATGGATGAGAGTCCATCACAACGCACACACTCACCCACACCAGTTTTCCCAGAAGCCAATAAACCTACCAGTATGTCTTTGGACTGGGGGAAGAAACTGAAGAAACCCAGAGGAACACGGGTAGAACATGCAAACACCACACAGAAGGCACCCTAGGCCGATAACTGAATCCAGGGCCACAGCCCTGTGAGGCAACATTTTTTATTTACTATTTATTTTAATTAGGATATTTCTGATATACTGTGGAGTCATGATAATATATACAGCAGGTCATTTTCAAGACTGTTGTGATTTAAGACTTCATTGTTGTCATTGTCATCATTATTATCGTTATTATTAAGTTACATTCAAGACTACTTTCTTGCAGAGCTCAGCAATTTGCAATAACTGTTTAGGCTACATACATACCTGTATCTGAACCTCCTTCTTTCTGCTTGCCATTTTATTTTGCCGTCACGCTTTGTTCAACTTATTTCAAAGCCTTGTTTTGGCAGCACAAACTTCAATATTAACGTATTAATTATTACATAGAAACTCAACACTGTACAGCTTTATTTTACGACCCCAGGAAAGTTATTCTAGTATATCTGGAATTTAATATCCGAAAAAGTTAAAAATAATGCAAAACATCTTCGTGACGAAATTTAACTGACTCGGTTTGAAAACTGTTTGAATTCCGCTTGGAACGTCTGAACTCTTACAGTTCATGTCTTGACAGCGGAGCATGATGGCAAAATACTATTTGCACGTCAAATGGCATTTGATCTTGTTGTATTAAATACCCGCAAGGTCCAGATTTCAGGATCTGAAATTTGAATGACGATGGGATATCGCGGGGTTTATTCAAAAATCAATTACCCACAAACTAGTACCAATGATAAGATGTGCATTACTGAAGCCCAACTACAGTACTTAAAACTGCATGTCATCCATAACTATTGTACTGATACAAAAACGTTATCGATAACCTATATCGTCACTGTTGAAAATATGATTTTCAGATAAAATACTCAAATAAACAGGACCAAAAGGATAATGACGCTTTGCTTATGTTTACAGTGTAAGTGTAGGGGATGTTAAACTTGCAATTAAACTGTAAACCTACAGATACCAAAATGTATCAAGGCAGAGTTCGAGATTGTGAACAGGTAAATAAGAAGTTATGTCTTTAAGTAGGAAGAACAGAGAACTGACTAGAACTATACTGGTACTATACTTTGTGTTTTTCACGGGCCAAGAGCACCACCTAGTAGTAGCTCTAATCCTTATAGCTATATAATTATAATAAGTGTGAAGCCAATACTACGGTATACTGTGGTGTACATCTTGCGCAGTAAAATCAAAATGGATGTTAGAACAATAACAGCTGTTGACTAAATAAGAATAGATTATTAATTTATTATAACATTAATCCTTGATTGATACTTTCGGAATACTTAAATGCAAAGTGACCAAAACCTATTGCTGGACCACAATACTTCACACAAAACTGTTATATTAAATAAAGCATATTTAAAATATTAACATGAGTTTAATAAGTAAATACAAACGGGAAAGGTCTAAGCATAAACTCACTATGAAAAAAAGTGCTACATAGTGCCCTGCATGTACAGCTTTTAATGTTAGTATACCATCATAACATTAAAATCGGACAGTTCCGTCTCAGTCTCAGGCTAAATCACACAGGCGCAGGCATGTCACGTGACCGTGCTGGGGGTCATATGATAGATCAGCTCTGGGGTGCACATTTTCAGGATGTCTGAAAATGAAAGAGAAGTCGTGCCCGGTTCAGGACTGTTCCTGGGGATCAGTCTTCCAGAGGCTGAAGAGGTCAGGCTTTAAAATTGCATGATTTAGGATTGAACACCTTTAGGTATTCATTAATTTTTTTTTCGGTAGACTTTTGTAGAAGTTAATAAACAGTAGCTTCAAAGAGAAGGATCGATGCTGTCATCAGGGTAATTGAGCACATATTTGCGGAGTGAAATGCGATTGTGGATTTTAAATTAATACAAATATATATCTCTAAGAGAATCACTGGAAACGTTAACCCAGGCATGATTGTCCTACACGACATTAAAAAAAAACATCTGTGCAAAACAGGAAATGTTATCACATTGCTGTGCGCTTCCAGTGTGAAAACCAAGATTGTGTGATTGTTTGGAACACAGAGGGTGGATATACAAAGTAATTAAAGGCTTTCTGCAACTACTGTAGCCTCCATAAATAAATTATTTTTCGGAAGGTCTGTTAGTTTTTAAATGTATATTTTATTTTTATATATATTTACGAACCAGTAACAGGAACCGACAATCCGTTAAGTAGTGATACTAAGAAGTTCCATTAACATCTCCTGAAAAATGCTTTTGTGATCAGAATGTGTGATTAGCAGAATTTAATCTGATTTTTCTCTCTCTCATATACACTGAGCCTCACCACTAAGGTGAGTACCCCTAAAAACGGTGAAGTTCTATCTAGTATTTCCCACAGCATTTCTGTTGTGGTATACATATTAGTTTACTACTCAGCAATTTAGCAAATAACATATACTGTGTTTTAAGGCTTTGGTAATTCACTATAAATTCCCTTTAAGTCAATTAGCCTTCATTTTATATCCGAGAGATCTAAACTGCATAATAAAACGTCCATTTGGCTCATGTGCTCGCATTAATTCTGCTAAAGGCTGACAATTACATTACTCATTGAAAAATATAAAGCTTTCATTGGGTTTTCTGGTTAAGGATTATCAGAACAGGAAGATAGAAAACATTAATAGTAAGGCAGGTTTTACAGTTGTACAGCCTGGAATTTTGAAAGCTCAACAAGTTCAAAGTCCTTGATTGTTGATCTTACATCCAAAGCCAAAAGACACCTACTGCCAAAGTGATAGTGCTACCTTTACTACAATGTATTGTACTGTGCAACAGTGTATCTATGATAATTCTTTGACTTTTTGTGATATTCAGTCATTCAGATTTCTTCTATATGCAACAATTCCCATTTCTTAATGTTAACACTCACCACTTCAACTCACCTCTTCCTATATTTCCCAATATAGAAAATAAATCCTTGTAAGATCTTTCCAAATTAATTTTCTTCACTGCATTGGAGAAGAACTGCAAATGCTCCACATCAAATGTTAAGTAATATCCTGTGTTTTTATTTGGTGTAATCTGTTTTATCTGTCTTGGAATGCCAAAACATGTGCGTGTTCTTCCTGGTTTGAGAAGGTTTATTGACTGCAAAGGGAGAAATTCTTTGAACTGTAGAGACCTAAAGTTAAAAAAGGTTAAAATTTCAGATGGTAAATCCTCCCTGCCTTCATCCCATCCAAAACGGCAACCTTCCGGCCACAGGCGGAGATCCTAAGCCACAGAGCCACCACACTGTTCTGATGTTCTGTTTTAATAGTGCCTGACTTCTCTATTGTTAATACTTTCAGCTGGATGACAAGGAGTTTAACATCCCTGTTGTAGAGATCCCACCTACATTGGAGAGCATATTAACAGAGGTGCAGTTTACATTACAACATCTTCCTTATGACATTGTTTCTGACTGTGCTTTCTATTAGAACAGCATTTCTTAGAACTATTTACAAATGTGAATTTCATAGCTTTAGCGAAATATAATGTGATTACATAAGTGTCGCTGAGTGTGTTCTGTAGTCCATCATGACATGCAGGCTCTAAAATTAATATTCTAATACTAGGTATGGTGGGGCCAACGTTTCAAGGTTACTTTATAACCACATCAAAAGAAAATAAATGTTTTATCATTGTTTGGTGTGATGTTAGGTAGCAGGATTACTTTAAACTGAGGATTTGAAGATTTTTTTTTATATCTTTAATTTCTTTAGGATGAAGAACAATTAAGAAGAGTTTAAATATATGTTAGTCATACAGAAGGATAGCCTGGTGTCTTAGCTTGAAAAGTCTAGTTTGTTGAACTGGTAATTCTACATGAATTCAGGGAGTTAAAAAAATGCTATCAATTACAGGATTCTGTCATTGAAGACAATCTTGATCCTTTCTTGTTGGATGAGTTTACCTTATCAACAGAAGAGACAGGACAAGAAGACAGCAGTACTCAACAGACTGATGAAAGCATTAGAAGACAGACCTCCCCTTCTCCATGGTAAAAACAACAAAAAAACACTTGAACATTTTCCCCTTACTGTTCTTGCCTGAATATAGATTTAATAAATTGCTTCTCAGGAAGTCTAACTGCTGCGCTGGTCTATAGGAGTTGGAAATGCCCAGAAGCACTCTCTTGCTCCGAGACCGCTGAGAAGACTATTTGTGTCACTTGATGACATGCACAGGACACCCACAGTTTTGCGAGCTGCTGACACATACTGTAGGATGTAGTCATTGCTGCATCCCAAACAAAATTCCTCAAAAAGCTAAAAATTTTTGTACGTGGGAAAGGTGATTGCAGAAAAGTACAGTAAAAACCAATTGCATAAACAGCAGTGTATGGACAGGTTTCACAGAGACAGGTTATTTTTATATTCTCAGGGGTATCGCAAAAATAAAGAGAGCAGGGCATTATGACTTGTGAAACCTTCAATCCCAAGGACATATCTTTCAACCCAGGTGAGAGTACTGAGACGCTATCAGCACGTTGATGTTTTTATCAGATTAAAATAAAATTATTAAATTAGATAATCGGAATAATTTTAATTAGTCTTTTTCTTTCTACTTATTGTGCTGTTTCTGGTTGGTGTGTGTAGACTTCAAGGACAGCGCCACTATTGCTCACTGCAGATGGGTGTCAAAGCATCATATAGTAGTCTGATGAGATAATTCTGCAAAGCCCATATTTGTTCTTGTTTTTTTCTTTCCCACTACCTAGGATCAAAGAGCCGCCCTTGCCCGATGTCGAGCAGGATGCAGTTTTGCGCTGTGTCACTCTCAGAGGAGTCTCTACGCAGATCGTTTCAGCTGCGGTGGGTGGATTTCTCTGGAGTTCCCATTTCTTGATGTAACAGACGTCATGGAGCATTCAGCTGTAAAATCTAGAAAACAAAAAAGGGTAGCGGCAGTTTGCAGCTGTTCTAGGGTTCCTTCCGTTCTGTCCTCCTGATAACTACTCTCTCACTTAAAGAAAAAACATGCCTCCTCTGTGTCTAAACAAATTGAAAAATGTATGTTATTGATTTGGGCCAGCTTGAATACACAGTGGTTAGCATTGCTGCCTTGCAGTGCTTGGGCCCACGATTCAGTTCTGGAACTGGGGTGTTATCTGTTTGGAGTTCACATGTCCTCCCCCTGTTTGCTTGGGTTTCTTGTGGGGGCAAAAAATACTGGTAGGTTTGGCTTCTTGGGAAGTTGCCCCTGGTGTGAGTGTGTGTGTCTTTCTGCCCTTCAATGGACTGGCATCCCATCTAGGGTGTACCTTACCTTGTGCCTGTTGCTTGCTGGGACAGGCTCTGGCTCCCCTGTGACCCTGAATTGGAAGAAGCATTCAGAAAATAGATGGAGAGATATTCCTGAATTGTAGTAAATCCCTTGTTTTCTGCTTTTTAGGACCGAGTGGCGGCAGGACTGCCCACTGCAGTGGTAAGTTACTCTGTCGTCCAAAGACTTCCTGAACCTCAGCAGCAGTTTTGCAAAATGGAACCTCTTCATAAAGGCATTGCTCTATTTAGTCGTTTACCGGCAGTTTGTTTTTAACACAACAACAAAAATGCTTTGAGTTGGAAAATGTGTAATATTGTCTGATTGATACTTATTCGTTCGAGAGGAACGACAGAAGCTGATACAACAGCATCTGCAACCCAGATGCCTGTTGATGGGGAATTATCCATTTATTTATTTTGTTTCAGTAAACTGTCAGTTCACTGCCTAAAGAAAATATTTGCCATTTTCTTGATGACAGCTTTGCATGTGTTGCAGTTGTAATTGATAAATATTTTTGATGCTCAGTATGTATTAAAAATTGAATTCTGATTTGATAGACCAATTGTAAGCAAATATAACAATGCCATTATGTTACTACCAGCCATCTTTCTATCTGTACCTTTTTTTTTTCCTCCCTTGAATAACTGATGGACAGGTTTGTGCATATTTCTGTTCACTGAGGTGTCTGTTCTGCATGGGAGGCAGGCAGATGCATTAGTGATGCCTTTTGAGAAGAGAGTTCAGTTACAAGCGTCTTAAAATAACTGCTGTGTGCTTTTATGTTTCCAGGCTGTCTGTGGCATTATAGCAATTGGAACATCAAATGGTCTCTTACTGATTTTTGGTAAGTATTCATTTAAAAGTGTGGCTCTGTATACATAGATCTCTAGATTTATTTATACATTAAGAGAATGTTTTGTTAATTTATAGATACATTTATAAATAGAAAGTGATAAGTTCACCCTCTTTGCATCCTCTCATATTAAAGTATTTTTTACTCATTTTTGTCAGTTTTATAAGAATAATGACAAGGATAATTATTCTCATTATTATTCTGTTATGATAAGTACAGAAACTGGATTTTTTAATATCAAAGTTTGATATTTCATTTACATACGGTATGGTGTTAATTGGACCCTTTTCATTTGAATACATACAGTAGCATACCAACCTACTAGTGGTTTGAAATCTTAACCCTGCACTAGCTACAGTATTTAGTATTTACAGTATTTAATTTTATAATACACTACTGTATAAAAGTCAAACATAATCATTATTTGCAGTATGTAAGTTATTAAGCCTATTTAATCAATGTATCTACTAGCATTTTCTGCTGTAACAGCTTTGAGTGGTATTAATGTAGCTTAATTTGGGTGAGAAATATGAATAACATATCTTCTAAAACTTGATCACAATTACTTAAAGTGAACTGTACATGAGCAGCCATTATGAAGTGCTGTAGTAGCCAGTCATTTTCACCAATCAAAACTTGTTGACGCATCAGTTGTTGTTGTTAACAACATGTGTTAAAGAAGAATCTATACAGATATTTTTTGTACTACAAAATACATATCAATTAGGATTAACTGTTAGTGTAAAACATATTTGCTAATTTCAACAGAGCATCAGCACAGAGATGCTTCTGCATTTCAAAACCGATAGGAAAGAGTAGAGCAGTGTTAAATAACTTTTTTTACAGTGTTTTTTACAGTGAGTTTTTTACAGTGTGTACTGTATGCAGAATAATTATTCTGGTTATTTCAATGTTTCCTTGCTGTAGTATGTTTTTCAACCACATACTCTCGTATTAGATTTTATGTTTCTCTTAATTAGATAATTCAGCAGGGGTTTCCAGTCCTGGAGATCCACACACGAGCTTGTTTTCATTGCAGCAGAGAACTTTACTTAAACAAATCCTTTATTGAAACAACAAATTGTATGGTTAAAGTTTTCGTTATGAAGAAAATAAGTTTAGTTTTTGGTCAAAGACTGAAGAATTTAAGTTAAGAAATTGACTAGTTAGAAGACAGCATCCTTCATTTTTAAAAACTTTAAAATTAAAGAGTTCCAATTAAACCTAGTATTTGGTTTTTGTAATAATTCATCTAAAAGGTGATCAGTTCAGGGGCTTGTTATGCATTTTGATCCTATACATTTATATAATAGTAACACATTAGAAAATGCTAATCTGACTAGAGTAGCTAGTCTCCTTCACAATATAATACCTTATCTTTGAAGGACGGTATCTGAAGTATGTTTGTGAAATGCAGCTTTTCTGGTGGCCTAATATAGGATGTGTATACTTGTGTTCAGACCCAGGCCAGGTTCTAAAGCTGTGTTTGGGAAGCACAGCTATTGGTGCAGAGAAAGGCCCGATATCAGCACTCGCCATTAACAGCAACTGCACTCATGTTCTCTGTGGATTTGCGAATGGACAGGTAAAGAATGCAGATGGGCTCGGTGAAATAAGGATCCTGAAAGGAATTATTGCATGGGTATCCAAGCTTCCCTCTTCAGGCTTTCACTCACTTTTATTGTTTTCATTATTATGTTTTACTGCCGATTCTATTCTCTAAGCAGTTTGAGCATGGAAAGCATTTTTGCTTTCTTTATTTCAAGGAAAAGGGCCCAAAATGAACACTATTGGTTAGCAGCTAATTTCTTTCTGTCTCGGTACATCTGAACGGAGGGTCAAGTTTCTGGGGTAACTTCTGCACTATTAGAACTGTTTACATGGGTCTAATTGTTGTGGTTTTGAGATTTCCTCTGTTGGGATAAACATTTCTGAGCACATTCTGAGAATACTGTAAACTGATGTGTACTGAGAAGGCAGTGAATGTGGATTACACCGCTCTAGTGTTTTCAAAGTTGGCAAAATGAGTAAGAGGCAAAAATAACAATCAAGCAGTTTCCAAACTCAATATAGAAGCGAAATTTTGATTTATGATCTGGTTTTAAGAGGCAAATGTGCTACCATCAACATCCTGAGCCATATTTATCTCATATACAGTTAAAGGAAATGAGATTTTAAAACAATTTACAAGCTAATTATGGAAGCTTATGAAAAGGCCTTCATGGTTGCTTAAACATGGGGATCATATGTTTTTAAAACTAGGACATGCTTGGATTTAGAAAATGTCTGTCTCAATGATTTGTGCCTTTTGAGTCATTGCTCTATTAATTAAAACACTTAAGGCTGTTTGATCTTCAGATTTTGCAGTGGGACCTAGAAACCGGAAAGTTGCTACGGACCATTGCAAATGCTAATCCACTTGGTAATGCAGTTGTTAATATCAAGGTAAGGCTTATCAAAATAGATCTACGACTGTAGCAGCCGAATGTTTCCTTTGACCTCTAAACCTTTTGTTATCCGTCATCACATTAAAGGGAAATTTAATGTGAAAAAACGGATATGAGCTATAGAAAACTACTTGAGAATGTATGATGTCAACACGCAGTAAGCATGTGTTCCGAAACGTGTCTCAAACAGTCTCAAAAACAAGTCCTCTTGGAGAGCTCTGAGCATCCTGACCCATTAAAAATACCTTCTACTTGAGCAAGACGGAGAGGACTTGGATTTGAACATCACACTCATTGCACTGCTTGTAGACATGTTAAAATGTCCGTGTATTAACACTCTGGACAAAAGCAATCTAGTAAATCAGTGCATTGCACATTTTTCCTGTGCAGATATTTAATCTTGGGTTCTGTGTCTGTTATTGATAAATATCTGTGGGGCCACCTTTAGTTAGGGCAGGGTAGCTGTATATAATTATGTATAATAGTAAGTAAAATAGTTGGGAAAGTATTGTCAGCATTAGGTTTTGCACCATTGGAGGCAACCGGGACGAATAGTGGAGTGGCAGCATGAATTGAATAATGATGAAGCACCGCTGAAACTAAGATTATCTTTATTCTTAGTTTGTGTGATTTTCACAAGCTTGATTCTTTTTAAATGCTGTTTAGGATTTGTAAATAAAGATTTCAGAATCTGTATTCCGTTTCTCAGTTCACAGATGACCCCTCTCTGGCTGTGTGGAATGACAGTGCTGGTTCTGTCTTTGAACTTCATTTCAAGTACGTGAATGACTAAGATGATTTGGGTGATTTTATCAGACTGCCGTTTGTTCTTTACAATTATTTATTTTATGTGCGTTTATGCTCCAGCTTGCCTGAACTCTCAACCAACTAAGTGACCTTCTGATGATTAACATAACTGTAACATTACTGTTAAACCTGATAACTCCAACTAAGACATGATTGAAATGATGAATACTAATGTTTGGTTGTCCAGTTATCACTCAAGAGCATTACATCAGATTGTGTTTTAAAAGTTTGCATATTTTTATTCCGTTCTTTCATTTATATTTCAACATCGTGAAAATCGATAGGTTGCAGTAATTACCAACACACACTGACCTTCCTGTCACTTCAGTTTTCTTACAATTCTCAAAAACCATTCAAAATTCAGCACTCAGTTACTTTATTAAGAACTTAGTTCAACATCACAGCCATTTGTAACAATCAGGAAATAAAGACATTGCCTTAAAGCTGCATCCTCTCCTAAACATAGTTGAACCGGCCCTTTTATAATGTTTTTTTTTCACAGCACCTCTCAGCCGCCCACATACTGTATGTGTTTGATCCCTCCAGGACACGAGTCTTTGGTTGAGACTGCTTTCTTGTTCTTGATGTAGTCGCATATATATATACATTTCCTTGTGGTTTTAGTTGGGCAGAGCTGTGTGCAAACAGAAGCTTTGAGAGGAGCCTAAGATAACTTTTGAGGACTGTAGTTCCAGCTGGTTTCCTTCGTCATGTGTTGCAGGAGATCTCTGGGGGCGAAGGCGCACGAAGTCCACTGTCTGTTCAGCAGCGACAAGGGGAAAGTCTACTGTGTGGAGCCTCTGAACGTCGGGGAGCCATTCACAGGCCACTCTGTAGCCCAGCACTCACTGGTGGCCATGGTGTCGCTCAGAAAGGTATAGGCTGCATGTGCTGTGTTTAAGTCTTCTAATGGGTTGACTGGTTTTTTGTGCCTTTGTTTTACCAGGTAAGTGCCTGTGGTCATTGCCAGTAAGTTATTGCTCACAATAACTTGCTCACAATAACTTCATGAGTGCTGTAAGGTAAATATGTTCTTAAATTCTACCTTAAATTCTAAACACGATTTTGATATATCTGACATATCTTCTTTTCTCTATTTTGCCATCTTTTGACAGGTGTTGATTATTACCCTGAAACCTGACTTGAAGGTTGTTTATGCTTCCCCGGTTGTGAAGGTAAACCTCAATTAAAATCGGATTGTTTTACGTGTTTAGAATTGCCCTTTTTTTTTACATACTCGGTTGATTCAGAATCATCAATTCTGTGTTTTGGCTTATAGTTAGCTACAAACCTGTCTGAGGCAAGACCTCTGAGAGTGGTGTTCAGGTAGAAGACAAGTGTTTGTACAACATGCCGAAAATATGCAACAGCTAACTAATTCATGAACATACAGTATGTTGGTTATTAAACTGAAAAATATCATAATTAGCTAAGGGCAATGTGAAAAATATATGCAAGTGCTGTAGTTTTCATAGGTCATGCTGCCATACAGTTACAATAAGGGAAACATCTTTATAGAAATTTAGTCATATGATAGGGCTCTCTTGTTTAGTTACACAGTGTTTTACAAGCTTTATTTACAAGTTATAATAAACCTGTTAAAGTTGTGACTGATACAATTTGTTTTGCAGACAGATGCTCACTGTATTCCCAGTCTGGCTTGGAATTTTTTATGGATTCAGGAATCAGTTGACCCTGTTTTAGCTTTTTGCCAAAGTTCCTGTATGACAATGTTTCATGTAAGTTGTGATTTTTTTTTTGGTGGCGTTTCTTGTGGTAATTCAATACATTGACAAACTGTCACTGGTGGTATGGAGCTGAAATATGTGTTTTTAAAGCAAAATATATTTCTAGGTGTGTTTTTTGCTTTTCCTGGGTGGAATTATTTTATTTACAGAAAATTTGACTTGGATTAATTGTCCAAAGACATAGATATTAATAGTATCTTAATTTCTGTTTTCATTCCAGGTAAAGTGTACAAGTGAAACATTGTCAGTTGTCAAAATAAGAGAAATAAAGCTTCACTTTGAAATTATTAATTTTAAGGTGAGTGCCTGCTTTTTTCTGAAGTAAACGTAATCCAGTAAAATTAGATAGCTTTCTTTTGTGAAATAACTATTGCTGTCTTTCTTAATTGAGGATGTTTGTTCCAAAAATGTTTTTTTTTTAGTTTCTCTTATATATATATATGATTTGAATAAATAAAACTGGCAGTTTTTAGGCACAAAACAGGAATCCTTTTTGAAACAAACAGTAGACTTCTAATATGTTCACTGTACATCTTAGTGAACAGTACTATATGGCCAGCTCACCTATAGCCAAACATTCACTTTATAACTTTATGGACACAATCAAAAAAGGAGCTTGAAGTAATCTATAGTTGCAATCTTTAGAACATTTTTTTAAAATAAAGTCAGGATATATATTTGCAACAGTGAGAATAAAAAAAAAAGTAGAATAAACCAGATTTTGACAGCACGGGTCTGGCACATTAATGAAATTAATGGTTTTTCCGATATAATTTTCTGACCTCAATGTTTCAGAAGCTCAATAAAACCTTTATAAAAAATTATTAAAGAACGAACACTTTACTCCACTCATTTTTTCTGTTCTGTTTCTCCTCAATGATGGGAAATAACCCGGGAACAATCTTTATCGCATCTTTTCAATAAGCAAAACTTTGTGAAAAGAATGTGTAATATTTTTTCAAGTTCATGAACATTTCCTGTCAGGCTGAAATTAACATAAGTCATGAATATGGGTCATGTTATTGACAGGGCCCTCTTCCAAACCAAAAATAGCCATCGGATCATCAACGCAGTTAGGAACTGCCAGATTCGACACTGCATTCCATTGGTGCTTCCCTACCACCCTAACACCCTTTCTCTTCCCAATTTTACAGGATGAACCCTTCACTGGTAACCTCTTTTCTAACCATCTTCAAATTTCGCCGTCCACTTAATCTGCGTTACCTTCTTGTTCACAGCTCTCTTGACTTCCAACAGCAGTCATCCACACCAGGCATTTTCCCCTACAACAGAACTCGCTGCATCCACTGTAAACATATATCCGATACAACACTCATTCAAGGCCCCTCTGGACAATTTCGGATCACCCAGATGACATAATGTATTTCCAACAACCTTATTTACTGCATCTCTTGAAGAAAATACCCAGCTGATTACATTGGTGAAATGGGAATTAGACCACTTCAGGGAACATGTCAGGTCTGTGAGGATCAAAGATCTTTCTAACCCCATAATTTATCCATTTCACCTTTAAAGGCCATGATCATACTGATCTCTCCGTGGACATCCTCACAGAGGGGTTTCGGAACAACTATTGCAGAAAGACATCTGAAACCAAAATTATCTTGAAACTAGGAACACACTTTCCCCCTTCTCTCAACGACGCACTCATCTCCTTCTAATCTTCTCTCTTCATTCGCAGGTTTTGACTTCACGCCTCTCTTCCAGTTCTCCAAGAGTGTTGATTCTCCTACCTCCTCCCAACTACCCTGTCTTTTGTTTTCCCATGCTTTATTAACTGCCAGTTTCCCTCTTTCCCTCACACCTGAAGAAGACTCTACAACGTTGTCTCTTTTCTTTTCCTTTCAGCATGGAATAACCTTTACCTGTTCATTTGTTCCCTAAAAAGTGCCTTTAAAAGGTTTAATATAGGTGTTTCCCTAATTGTATGGAACTGTTTCATTTGCTTTTCTTTGTTTGGTTGTTGTTTTGCTCCATGATATGGCAGGAGCAGATGCCATTTTTTGCTACTGGTGTTCTACAGCAAAAAGACATAAATACGTACTTACCTTACCTGTCACTGTTGTTTCTTTGCATGTGTGTACTTCAGTGGATGAATACGCAAACGCTCCTTCTCATTGATTCTGTGGAGAAGCTGCACGTTCTAGACAGGAAGAGTGGGAAAGAGCTACAGCTGCTGGACCTGCCTGACCTGCAGCTCGTACACACCTGTTCACCATCCAAAGATTGGGCTGTTGGGACAGATGTATGTGTGGGATCTATCCCCTACCCATTGCCTCTGCAATGGACCTGATTTTTCCAGTGGCTCCCATAAAATCTTTGAAATCCTGCCTGAAATCACCAGGTTTGGAATTCTGTGAGGGGAAATAACCCAGTCTTTTAAGGTCATGAAATGAACTCCCATGGTGAAAGAAAAAAATGTATGTCTTCTAATTTCTTATGTGAATACAAATGCTTGTCAGTTCTTCATCTGACGAGCAGGAAACAGTCTTGACTGATTTCAGTCTCCATTGAGTTCAGCAGTGCGGCAGTGAATCTGTCGCACAGGACAAGACACACTGCAAGGTTTTCCCAATTCTTATATGCAGTACAAGCTCATAAAGAATTTTTTACTCTTTAAGTGATTGTCCTGTTTTATGAAATGTTTGTGAGTGTTTGTCCTGTCCGTTACTGTGCGATTTCTTCTACTCTTAACACCTTGTACAAGGAAATTAGTTGCTTCAGCTGTTATAGCAAGACTGTTTATTCTAATATGCTGTACTGTAGCTTTTTGTAAAGGCTAAATTAACAGATCCAAGCAATTACTCTAATACCTCCCAGAAGGTGGTTAAACAGTAATATTGCTGGATACATGTAATAAATATAAACACTATATCCCACTTCAACCTCTAACAGAAGCTAGCTGTCAATGTTTGGTAATTACAGTAAGTGCGAAATTCCCTGTAATCTCACATTCAGAACCATAACTTTAATTCCCTTTGGTACCAGTAGCACATGGAGGCTTGACATGAAAGTGAAGTAAGCCTAAAAAACATGGCCTATTTTGACTCCCAAAATGAATTAATAAAGAAAAAGGAACGTGATGCTTATGCTTCCAGCAATGGCACAGAAATGATAAATGTCATGTTTTGGAGAAGATGAAATGTGTACAGTATGTGCATGATTTCACCATTGTGTTTATTGTATGCTTTTTTTTAACGTGGTAATAACCTGCAAGCAGTTCCAAGTCCTGTTTTATGTCTTTGAAGGCTACAACGGTTAACAAGATCACCTATCAGTCAGTGGGCAGTCACGGAGGAGAAACAATTTTGCTGGGGGTCAAGGTGAACTTTGTTTTTCTTTATTTCTTCAATTTGGTTTTGAATTTAAAATGTGTTATGAAACAAAGCGTGACATACCGTAGAATAAGAGGCTTTGAAAGGCTGTGCATCTGTGCAGAGAATGGGTGGTGGCCAGGCCAGAATCAACCCCTGTTTTCTCTGTTTCCACAGTCTGTGCGAACTGTCTCGCTGAGAACCTGGGCAGAGGTGAGATTCTGCTAGCTTGCAGTCAGGGACACTTACTGGGGTTCAGGTTGGTTTTCATGCTCATCTGGTGCCGATGATTTGTCTGTCCAGAGGCTCGACTCCCTGGTGAAGCAGGAGCGGCATGCAGAGGCCTTGGCGCTGGCATGGAAGTTCTCGGAAGGAAGTGCCAAAGCTGTTGTTGGTAGGTCACTCCAGCAACTTGGGGCCGGAGTCATTCCACTCTTCACTACACACTGGCAGGGGTGGGATGCACATTACTGAGAGGTGTGGTGGGTGTGAGAAATCCCTGAATAAAACAAAAGTTTGAAACGGCGCTTGTGCACTGATGGTGAACAACCATATAAATATTTCTCACAACACCAAAAAATCTAAAAGCTGAAAAGATGAGAAATTGAGTTTGACGTGCTGAGACAGTTTATTGTTGTTTCTCAAAACAAAATGTGTTAAAACCCTTGAAATGCCGTTCAATTATCAGAAGCTTCTATATTCTCAAATTCACATTGCCCCCATTAGTAAGTGGCTGGCTGAAATGTTCCTGCTTCCACCATAACTTTGTCCAGTAAATATACAGTAGTGCACTACAGGTTAACAGTCAGTTTCATGAATTTATGTAGCTACTGTTTTGTATACAGATATCACATTACATACAATACTATAGTACTAAGTTACAGCCTTTTGTTGCTTAGAGCCTTTATTTTAGAGTTGCATCTTATAGTTAAAAGTATTTTATTAATAAAATGTTTTTAAGGTCTTCCTGGGGGCAAACAGAAAAAGAAAGCTGCGGTGGCCAAGAAGGTAAATATCACAGAATAAAAGTCCTTTTTATGTTTGGGTGTTTTGTTTATATTTAAATTTAAGTATTTAAATATTAGTTTAGGTAAATGCAATTTAGTTACATTTATCTTAAATTATGGTTATGGTAAATTATCATCATTGTGCAAAACCTTCATGTGTGGATCTAGTCTGTCATGAAGGCCATGAAAAAAATGAAGCAATAGAATTGTAAATCATTTAATTTTAAAAAGTAATTCGTGAAACTATTTTTGAGCCCTCAATGTGCTGAACTGACTTTCTGCCTGGTTTCCTTTGTGCTCAGTGGTAAGTGGAGATTTAAGATAATGTTTAATGGTGGTGCTCAAATAATTGACTTTGCAGTGAAAATCACTGGTAAAGCACTGTTGAAATGTTAGAGGATCTATTTTGGTTTCATGTGGAGGATCAAAACTAAGCACATAAAGAAGAACTTTTAATGTTAATGTGCATCGGAAAACTCTCTGACCTAAACTTGCTGGCAGTCCCCTGATACAGTACTTTGCAAAGGTATTCAGACCCTTCCTATGGTTTTGTCAATCTGTGAAATTGTTCAGGTTTTAAATAAAATATTGAGTGCTCAAACAGACTTCTACAGGTAAGGTAAATTACAGTAAATGTAAGCCTAGAGAGAAAAATGTAAATATGTCAATTGCATAAATATTAAGATTTGTGAATTACTGTACATACTTGGTGGAAACACATTTGGCAGGAATTACAGCCACAAGTCTATAGAATAAATCTCTACCAATATTGCACACCAGGTTGGTGTAATGTTTGCCAGTTCTTCTTGGCAGACATGCTCAAACCCTCTCCAGTTGTTAGGGGATCATTTATGAACGTTGGTTTTCATATCTTTCCACATACTCTCAGTAACATGCAGATGCAGATTTTGACTGGACCAGTTGAGGACATTAACTTTCATATTTCAAAGCTACTCCATTATAGATTTGACCTTATGCTTTGAATTACTGTCCTGCTGAAAGATTATTTTTCTGTCCCAGTTTTAGGTGTTTAGCAGACTGAAGCAGGTTTTTCTGTAGGATAGCTTGTACTTTTCTCCATCACTTTTCCATTTAATCTTGACCAGCTTCCAAGTCCCTGTGGATGAGATGCAAAATTAGAACATAATGTTACCATAACCATACACTACTGGGAGTTGTTGACTGGGTGATGCATTGTGTTGTTTGCTTAAGATGTACTGGAATAGATTTTAGGCCCAAATGTTCCAATTTTGCTTTATCTGACCACAAAACAACTTTTTTACACATGCTTGCACTGTCTGAAATTTGCAAAAAAACATTTACTGCAAACATGAATTGAGATGTTTGTTTTCAGTAATAGTTTCCTTCGGGCCAGGTTTGACTCATGAACATTTTTCCCCCTGTCCCCTGTGAACTCTGTAACTCTTTCAAAGTGGCTGTTGGCTTCACCTAATGATCCCTAACCAGATTTCTCCTTGCCAGCCTGTCCCACTAAACCGAGCAGCACGACAAGTAGGAAACTAGATAAACCTGATAGTCAATCAAGACAGTGATTGAAGAAGACATTGATTTATTCTGAAATTATGTGAACATCATTACACACAGACTCAATAAATGGTATGGCTCGTTAAGTTACTTTTGTGCACCTAAATTAATTAATGTTTAGCAGCTAAGGGTTTAAATATCCATTCAGTCATGACTTTTCCATTTTACTTTTATATTAATATTTACTTTCTTTTGTCTTTTGCTTTGAATTGTTTACTAGGTTGTGTACAGTATACACTGTAACAAGTATTAATTGTACTTCAAGGTGTCATAAACAAAAGCTTCAATGAAAAAAAAGGTGTAAGGTTCTGAATACTTTTGCAAGGCACTGTACAGTATATCACAATATCAGGCCAATTTCCTGTGCTGCCTGCAGCTTTTCTGTCGTTGTCACATGTACTTTGCACTCCACGAAATATATAATGTAATATTCCCATGTTGTTGCTATTATTATCATTTAAATTAGTATTTGGCTGACATGTGCCAGATTATGTTCACATTGTATTTGAAAACGAAGAACATTATTATAAATGTGTGCAGAGCTTGTTCTATGTAAGCCATTCTATCGGATAGCGGTTTTGGCTAGTCTGCAAAGGAATAGATCACAATGAAAAAAAAATGTTTCAAATAGTGTCTGAGTACCATGGAATGTTTAGTCAGTTAGTTCTGGAAAATAGCAAGGTTTAGTATAAGCTCTTGCTTATATTAGTCAGTAGGTATAGTACCTTATCTCAAATAAACTTACCACTTTCTCAATTATATTTCATATTGTTCTTCCAAACAAGTGTATATGGCAATGAACAAGGTAGAACCTTAAAATATTAATATTATTTGGCAATATAGGTTAGAGAAGTACATATAAGCTGCTTGTGTTGGGGGGGACGGATGATTCCAAATTGGGTCTGTGTAAACCAAAATCTTAAGGAAGAAAGCTGAAAAAAAATAATGTAGATATTATGTGTCAATGGGGTTTCCTTCTGTAAAAAAGATAAACTTTTAACCTATAGCAGGAAGGGAATCACTATAAACTCTGTTATTAACTAAACAAAATGTAATCTTGATATCGATAGTCTCAGGCTGTCCTCCAGATCCGATTCAGAGATTTTGCCCATTGTGTCCTATGCCTCTGCTTAACCTTTTTTCTTGTACCCAGACTCATAAATCCAGAGCAATGGTGTTGGCTAAACTCTGTGGTGTCGGTCCTGCAGGTGGCTGACATACTGCTGGACTACCTGGAACTGTGTCTGAGGAGATGCCCTGAGCAAGGCAAACTCCAGGTCATGGAGCAGCACTTCAAGGTGGGTCTTTGTGAGCTTTTAGCCACGAGAGTAGAGGAACTGATGATTTTCCCCTCTCTAGAAAGGCAACAGTTATCTCTTTACAGTGCAGCGAAAGGGTTTATGTACCCATCAGGTTTTCTGTATTCTTGTGTATTTTAGATGTATAACTTAAGATTTTTCCAAAGATCCAATTATAAGATAACCTGATCAAAGATGCGTCACAAAGACATATCGTTTGGTTTGTCTGTCCATCCATCAATTTCTAACCGTTTCTTCCAATTCATGGTCGTGGGGAATTTGGATTTATAATTAACAAAATGATCCAACAGTAAATTATGTTCTCCTTACAATAAGTATACTGCATGTAATATTTGATTCAGTCACTGATAGAATGACACAGGAAATTCAGTTGTCAGCACAACAACGGACACGTAACTTACTGTAGTACATTGACAAAATTGATCATACCATCCTGTATAGAAAAAACAACATACAGTGTTGTGAAAAAGTAAGTACACCCCATGAAAAGGTGTGTTTTTCAACATATTTGCATGTATGGATATTTGCTCTTCATTTCAACAATATTGATAGATAAAGTTGATCTAATTTAACAAATAACAACGAAAATTATTCTTTGCAATCATTTATTCAACATAAAAAGTCAGAAATGCAATTGTGTGCTATGGAAAAAATAAGTACACCCCCTAGCTTGAATAGCTGTTGTTGTCCCCTTTGGCAGAAATCACTTCTTGTAGGTGTTTCTTGTAATTCTCTGTCAGTTGCCTACATCAAAATTTATGCCCACTCTTCCTTACAGAACTCCTTCAACTGTGTGATGTTTGAGGGCTTTCTTGCATGTCCCCCCACAGCATTATATGGGGTTAAGATCTGGGCTTTGACTTGGGCCTTCATTTCTTCTTTTTAAGCCATTCTTTTGTGGAATTGCTTGAGGGTTTTGGGTGATTGTCTTATTGCAAGGTCCACTTACGTTTCCGCTTCAGCTTTTTGACAGATAGCCTCAAATTTTCGTCAAGTACTCTCTGGTACAATGTGGAATTCATGGTTGACTCTGTGATAACACACTGGCCAGGCCCTGCAGCAAAAAAGCAGCCCCAAACCACAATGCTTCCACCACCATGCTTTACAGTTGGTATAAGGTTCTTTTGGTCAAAGGCAGTTTTTGTTTTTTTGCCAAATATAACATCTGGCATTGTGGCCAAACAGCTCTACCTTTGTCTCATCTGTCCAGGCACATTGTTTCGATAGTCCTGATCTTCACCTAGGTGTTGTCTGGCAAACTTCAGTCATGCATGTATATTCTTGTTTGAGAGCAGAGGCTTCTTCCTTCCCTCCTGACCTCTCATGTAGGACAAAGTTGTGCAGTCTCTTTTGGATTGTTGGCTGCACTTTGACATTGACTAAGGCAAGACTTGCCTGTAAATCCCTTGATGTTATCCTGGGTTCTTGGAGACGTCCTGCAGCATCTTTTTATCAGCTCTTTGGCTGAATTTGGTGAGACGACCTGGCCTGGATAGATTGCCAGTGGTTTGAAATTTTCTCCATTTGTAGTTGATCTTTCGGACAGTGGCGTGATGGACTACAACTTTCTTGGAAATGGCTTTAAAACCCTTCCCAGACTCATAGGCATAAACAATCTTTCTTCTGAGGGCCTCAGAGAGCTCTTTTGATCTTGGCGTGACCACCTCAATTGAAAAAAACCAAAGCAGACCACAGGTTTCTGATGTTTATAGAAGGCAGTGTTCTCCAAATTACTCTCTAATGATGTTCTAATCATTTGCACCTGTTTTGGTGCACCTGCTTCTAATTTTAGGCATTTGATGCAACGATAAAGGTAGAGGTGTACTAACTTTTTCCACACAAGGATTTTGCGTTTCTGTTGATTTTAGTAGTACAAATGAGTGCAAAATGTAATTTAAAAAAATAACTTTGAAAAATGACATTGCCTTTATCTATCAGTATTGTTGAAATGACGATGAAGTATACTTTTGTCCAAAAATGTAAAGAAAGACAAATTACAGGCTATACCAGGGAGATCACAAGTCACAAACCATCACCAAAACCAACACCTTATCAAGGTGAGATGGTCTGAGCAGTAGTGTCTAGTCGAGATAGAGCTCTGCTTGTAGAGATTTATGGCAGCTTGACAACATGGCTCTACATACCGTTATCACTACTCATCGAATTCTGTGACTCACTTCCTCTGCCCAGTCCTCATCCTGGTGTTACTATATCCAATGGATACAACATACTGTATGTTCTCATGCTAAAGCTAAAGTGGCTTTCTTGCCTTGCATTAGGAGAACATGACTGTATTGACATGGTTACTCTACTTGAGTGAACTGAGCTCTGCTGAACATCTGTTACATACGTTGCAGCACAAAGTATCTAGGGTTCAGAGACCAGTGAACATGCTGCACGAGAGGAGTAAAACAGAATCCCATAAGACTGTTGTTAGATGTTCAACCTTTATTGCTTGCATGAAATAACATGCTCTTTCTTTTACATTTAGGAGATGATTCCTCTCTGTGCTACTTGCTGTTTTAAATTCAACAGAATGTGAGTGCCTTATGTTCTGCATGCCATTTATATGTATTACAGTCTATAGAATTGCATTGTTTTTGTTTTTAGACTCTTTCTGTTCATATAAAGTGTTCAAAAGTTTCGAAACACACTATGCATAGAAAGACTTAAGGAGATAACAGTATTGTTCACTGTCAATATTGCTCTCTCAGGTTCTTTTATAATATACATATTTGATCATATAATGCTAGCAAGGTTACTAATATCTGCACTTTTCTGAAACTAATTATGTCTTCTTTTGAAATATATTACAGACATTGATGTGATCACAGATATTGATGTGACATGGAGGCAATATCTTTGTATGTGTGATGATAACAAATTCTTAAACTGCATAGTCTACAGCTTAGAAGGGTGTTTGTGTTGCATGACATCATTTTAGGCTGTATATTTGAATTATTAAATTGTCAGTGGCTTATGTTTTTTTCTTAATTGTACTTAAGTTAATGGGTTATTCATAGACAACTATGATACCTTCACTATATTTTTATATGGCACTTACTAATGACACACAGGTAACCAAAATTACTGAAAATAAATCAAAGTTGAACTAGGAAACTATAGTGCCAATAATCATGCCTCTGTTATTTGTAAAGTTATGGGAATGATTATGGCTGATAGTTTACAAACTGGATAACAAGCCAAGCAGATAATGGTTGAACTCAATAGGGTGGGGTTATTTTCCCCATTTCCTTCTCACAAATGCATTACTCTTGTAGTCTTTCCTCTATGTGCTGTAAATTGCTGTTTTAATTAAAATTTGTTTTTGAGATGATTACGACTAACATACAACACCTGAAAACATGAGAATGTTTAATTTTTCTCTTGGGTTGTCCCACCATTTGAAACGGTTCCTTTCACTTTTTTTCCCAAGTTTTCCCAGAGTGGTCAATAATCGATACACGTTCTTCTGGTTGTTCTTTTATTCAGAGTGTTAATAAGTGCCAGAAAATTAATATGTTCTACCACAAGTCTGCTGGGGGTGGCATTGAATAGTGGATATGTCTTGGGTATGGGTATGACAAGTTATGGGTTCGAGTCCGCACTGCAGACACTGTTGTTGTACCTTGAGCAGGAAACTTTACCCAGCTGCACCAGTCTACCCAGCTGTATGAATAGGGACCAGTATTGCTGAGGGGGTAATCCCTGCCCTTACTAGTGTCCCTTCCAGTGGAGGAGTGATGTCTGATCCTCATAACGCTACAGAAACCAGGATAAGATGAGGCTCAGTGAGCCCCTGTGGTTCTGGTATGGACCATTTCCAAACCTAGTAACTGAAAAACATCCTTCATGCATAAAAGTTAAACATTTGCTATTTCCTGCCAAGACTGAAATAAACTCACCTCTGTCTAGTCTATATATACCTTTTTTGGTCATCTATTGTTTGTTTGTTTTTTTGTTCTATTTTTTCCGATCCAGTGATTTGATTTTTGGGGAGGTATATGAAAAACTGAACCACAATGCTGTTGCCCTGGGGGTCCTGTTTGAGTGCCTGGAGCCACATATCCTGAGCAGCAAACAGAATAACATACCACCACTGGTCATGAAAGACATGGTTGGGTACTATGAGGAGCAGGGGAAGGTGCATGTCCTGGACAAACTCATACCACACCTGGATATCATGACCTTGGATCTGCATCAAGTGAGTCTGGAATCAGAGATCCTGCATGTATCCAGCAGGGTGAACGGAGGGTGACTATAGAGTACGTTACACCTTCTGTTTTCTAGCAACACATTCTCTAGGGCCAGAACCTGGTGTACATAGGACATTGAAATGGGGAAGTGTAGAAACAGCCCCTAGACCAAGAAACAGGAATGCGTCAGGGTTCACATTCCTCATGAGAATAATGGAGGAATTGGATTCAGCTGTGAGTGAGCTATGAGACTTAAATTATAAATTCCGCTATAAATGAGACTTAGCTTACTGTAAACAAAATATGAACTGTCTGTAGGCTCTGAGGCAAAAATATCATGTTTTAACTGAAGTCCAACAATATCTTTCAATGACATCTACTTCTGTGTCAGTGGCAGAAATACTGCAGGTTTAATACCTGTCCGCGGCATATCAGGACAGCTGGTTCTATTAGTGTTATAGCCACAGGTAAAGTAGAAATGCTAGATGAGTAGGAGGATCTGCTACATTTGGTGGCAGCAGTGGGAACGTGCCTCTAGTGGCATAAGGGGGAAAGCACAGAAAATAAAATTGGTTTAAATGTTCTTTTCTTCTCCTTTTCTTTGATCTACTAGAACATTATGCCATATTCGTAATTGGATCTGGTCTTGGAAGGAACAGGATTTTAAATTCTTGTTTGGTCACATACACTAAACCTTAAAGAAGCACTGGCAATCCTGGACATAAAGGGCATTTGGTTTTATACGTCACTCTGAGTCCGCCTAATTGATTACAGGGGTGCAGCTCATTCCACGGGAGCCTTTCTCACCCTCACAGGGAATTCCATGATTATCCCCCATTTATGAAACTAGGTCTATCTAGCTCAACAAAACACCCCTATTCTCAAGTACTCGGCTTGATCTTCTTCAGCTCCGTGCCAAGTTATAGCCTGACTTTGAGCCAAAATGGTGGCCTCTTGATGACCAACCAAGTCCAAGGTGGAGGCTTTGTATAAAACCATAAAAAAGGACTGTATAAATACATTGTCAATGATACTTTAATAACAGCTATTTCTGAATCGTAGGTTTGTCTACCAGAGTTAAATGAGTTTTGGCTTGTTTTTTTCAGATTGTTAATTTATCAAGAACGTTCAAACTGTGCGATTCTCTCATCTATGTTTATAACAAAGGAATGAATGACTACACAACTCCCATTGAGGTAGGTTTGTTTATTTATTAAGCAAATGTAAAAATAACACAGCTTGTACACCCATACCTCTTTTTACGAATATTCTGTTTATGAAAATTCGATACTACGAAGAATGTGAACTTCTCACATTTCGAATAATGAAAGCGAACTTTGAAACTACAAAGAAGCGAAAAAATGTTGAAACCTCCACGAAATGCAGAGAGTGAGGAGGAAGGCATCATACGACTTGTTTCATATCGAGTGTACACGTCACATTCCACTAAGTTGTATGGGTAAGAGCTAGCACAGAGCCTGCGCAGTGGCAGGAGAGACATGTGTGACACTTACTTTTCGTGTAAGAAAATTGGTGGTTTAGACTTTATCATGGACCCTAAAGGTGTGAAAAAATGAAAATTCGAATTGTGTGTAATTACAGTAAATACATAAAAAGCTAATGAAAGGGAACAGAACTGTACTGAGGTATGATTAATGATTTCTAACTAGGTCAGCAGTTTTTAATGACCAAAAACACAAACCACAGTATGCATGTTAGTATTGTTGTTCATTTTCTTATTTCTTGGAGAAAAAAAGTAAATGTAGTGGTGACATTTTTGGGGTCCGAAATGTTAATTTTATCCTATTAAAATTAATGGAAATATCTTTTACTTTTGACAAATTTTAGCTATACAAAAGGGTTTCTGGGTGCGTATTTCCTTCGTAAAAAGACGGAAAGTACTTCCCATTTCCCAGAAGAGCTGATAATTGAGGGGACTGTGTAAAATCAAATAAAGGATCTTATTTGACTCCCATTCTCAGATGCTAACCAAACTAAGTCAACAACTTAGTACCATAAAGAAAGCTGTAGCTCTGAATTACGTTTTACATTTAATTGTATACCCTTTTTTAATGTTTTCATATTTTTCACATAGTATATACTAAACTAGTGGGTTACATCACATCTGAAACACCTGAAGTTATTAAACTATGATTTTTTACTAAGGTTCTTGCAGTATATATGAGCTGATATCTCAGAATGAGCATTTAGCATTCACCAGTGTGACAGTTGAACAGACTCAGGCTTCTTACGTTGCTGTATAGGAGCAAAGTTATCCAGCTGTAGCTTTGAGCTTTTCTGGGGTTTTTTTTAGGCTTTATTTGTATGCATTGGAAGCAATTAAGGCAAGAACTATGGTTCAGTGATTTACAGCGTCATTAAGAACAGCTGGTGCTACCCATATTTCCTGTAAAAATGGAACTCGTAAAGATATTGGTATTAATGTGCTCCTGTTTATCATGGTACTTTTCTCTTTCTACTTTCTTGACAGGAAATGACTCAAATTATGTCAGTTGCTCTTCGAAGCGAGAAACCAGGTACTGCTTTTGTCACTTTCCTTTCCTGATGTCTACATCAGTTGTTTTTAGTTTTCAGAAAAACAATGTGTACAAAATACACATTTGAAGATGGTAAACCACTAAGCTCCCCTCAAGACAGGGACTACCATTCTCAAGTTGCTTTTCTTTTCAAATGATCCTCTCTACCTGCAATTAACCCTTCTGCTACTACTTATTTGGAACTTTCAGTAAGCAAAGCATGCATTTCTGTGTTTATTTATTCAGTAAGTAATGTCACATTTTGAATTTCACAGATGATATTGTGTCTGTGGGCAACACGATTCTGGTCTACATAAGGTAATTTTTTAAATTTTTGAACAAGAAACCTTAATTTTATTTTCTCTGTTACAGATGGAGCCGTATTATAGTTTGGTTCAAGCAGATGTTTTTATTACAAGATATTTAATTTAACTTGTTTTTTGTATCTGTTCTTCTGCATAGCATTTCAGCTATTGAAACAATATATAGCTGAAGTCACAGAGGCAGTTATACTCTGATGATGATTCTGTTGTATTTTAAATATAAATGTTAATTGCATTTGTACTGTATATAGGCCTCCTCAGCCTTGTAGGTACTGTCCTTTGATTTTAGGAATTGGGTAAAATGTTAAGTTTATCAAACCAAGCCAGTAATAGGGAGCACTGAGGCTCATCTTGTAGAGATTTGGTCTGTGGTTGGTGAGGGCTGGGGTCAACTCTTAGATCTCCACAGTTCACATATATGCTCTAACATTGTTGCACCGATGCCTTGGTTAATAAAATTGTCTGTCATTGTGTTATGTTGGAAGTGTGCTGCAAAACAATTTCCCCAATGGAACAATAAAGTTTGAATTGAAACTAATTCAAATTTAACTTATCTCTGGATACCTGCAGGACACATAGTTGTCTCTACAAATTGGTTATCAAGTTCATGGCTATGTGTACCGGTAAATGACTGAATTTAATGTTTGTTTGGCTCTAATTTAGTTGCTGCTTGACTGGTAGAGAATATCCTCTTGGTGTTGTACCTGAAACCAAGGTTCAGGATGTGAAGAGCAAGGTGAGATTTATGTTTTGATATTGACAAAATAAGCCTTTTATGTGAGCAACCACAACCACAAGAGCAATGTTTTAAATATATTGTAGGATTTTGTTGCTACAAAAAACCTAGGTTGTTAAAACAGCCATGAACAGAGTTTAAAACAACAATGTTTCTTAATATTTGGAAATACAGGATTGATTTGATGAAAATGATCACGTGAGCATTTTCTTTTTATGGTTCAGTTTATTGATCACGTGTGCAAGGCTTTCTACACATGGTAGATGAAGTGTGTTGTTCTACGCCCAGTAAAGGCAGAGGGCCAAAGAAAACTTGGAAAGGAAGAACAGATACTGGACAGAAAAAGCTAAGGAAATTCAACAACGCGCAGACATAAATACCAATGGTTTCTTACCGCCCCCATGACCCAAGAACCTGAGATGTAAGGAGACCAGAGTAAAGATAAGGAGACTGTCAAAGCCTGTTACAAGGATCATTTTTAAGACTGATTTAATCGAGAACATGCTGTTAATGATAGTATGTTCAGTTCGTCAACACCGAACAGGAGAAGGAGAGTTTAGAACTGGACAAATAATGAGGTGATGAAAGGCATCACACTGATGAACAACAATGATGTAATTCTCTTTGAAATGTTTAAGCTCATTGGATGGAAACTAATGTTACACACTCCTAAACCCTTACCATACTTGGAATGAAGAGGTAATCCCAAATGGTTTTTAAGGATGTCCCATTTGTGATAATCTTCAAGAAAGGGCACAAATTCAATTGTAGAAACAACCGTGGGAATTATCTGCTCATCTATCAGATTTATCCTCTCATCCTTCATGCTAAAAAGCTTTTCCCAGAATCCGAGTGTGGTTGAGACTCTCAAGAGCCATGGCCAACATAATTTATACAAACTCAATTACTGGAAAAATGTCAGAAACCACAAACACCTTTACTGAGCATTGTTTGCGTGTTCATTGACCGGTATTTGTTTTTCAGGTGTTCATGTGTCTTACAAGTGTACATTCCAAAGACATTGACCCAGTGGAAGACCCTTACCCATTCATCCGCATTCTTCTCAAGTATAATACTCGAGAATTCCTCAATGTTTTGGCGCTGGTAAGACTAGCAGCAAGAGAAACTACTGAGTACTAGGTGAACAGGTGAACTAAAACAGTCAAACCTTTGAAAAGCACAAACTGTGACAGTAATCTGAGCACTTCAGAAAATCGAGTGTGTATACAGTATGTGGCCGAAGGTATCGCCACACAGGTGACGTGCAGTCATAGCCAGACAGTGCCTTAATTAATAGTACACCTGTTCTGCAGGTAATAAAACTCCATAGATTTCAAGACTTTGATTATGCAAAAGGAAATTATACAAGTTGAAATGTAAGTATCCTTACTTGTGTTCTATAAAAGATGAACAATATACAAATTAGCCTTTGTTTCATTTGACCTAAAAATGGGATTTGTAGCATTTATGTGAGCTGCATCTCCTATAATTTTTTTGTAACACGAACTCTAAAGAGAGATCATCCTGTTATACTTGATATTTACCTACAAGCAGACTTCCCAACAATGAAAGCTTTATTTCTGTATGAATGTCAAACTACTTTTTTATTGCACATATTTTGCAGACATTTGAAGATCTGCAGCAGGATAAGCAAGCAGTTGAGTTTCACCAAAGAATTATAGACATCTTACTCCAGGTGAGTGTGTGTGAAATTAACATGAATGCTTTGGAAAAACAGTTCTGTGGTTTCAACAAGTATAATTGTATATCCTGTTATGTTTTGTTTGATTTTGTTTTCTGCTTCTGAGCTTTTCTGTGCTATCTCTCTATGAAAGCCCTCCTAAAACCTAGCTTCTTAGATATGTCTGTGGAACGCAATTAGCTTAGCAGGTGGCCCATTAAACTTCATGGTCTAAGGCACAGTTTTTGCATAAGCTCTATTTATGGTTTTGCTAGAACTATTTGTTTACTTTGTAAATAGGAATGGAAACGAAGTCAGAAAAATTAAATGGGCAAAAAGTTTAGATTTGGAAATATGGCATACACACAAAGGAGCAGAAAATGTAGATTAAATCAATGCCGAATGTATAATTAGGCATTTCACAGTCACCTTTATTTAAAGTGACTGACAGAGAAGGTATAGCACAAACATCAAACAACTACTACTTATACAAGGCCCTTGATTTTATGTCTCATTCAAACTAGAGAAAACGGGTAGTATGCAGGCTTTTTTTGTAAACCGCTAGGTGAACCAGTCCCCTCCATTATCCCAGGAAGTGAAGAACATGTCCCATGTGCTCAAACATGTTATTCATTGCTTGGTCCACAAAAAGGTTCTACCTTTGCTCTTGTAGGTAATGCTGGAGAGTGCCGACTTCACTCCATCCCAGATTGGCAGTCTCTTCACTTTTTTGGCACGACAGTTAGCCAAAGCAGAGAACAGCCTCTTTGTGAACAGGCGTCTGTTTCACCAGGTCAGTGTCACAACTATTGAACAGCCATACACCGTACACAGTGTTTTTGTTGTTAGCAGTTCATAAAAGTCTTAGTTCTTGTTGACGTTATGAGATGTGATGCATTGTGCTTCTGTGATTTTGTATGAATGTTACAGAAAGAGTTTTCATTGCGCAAATTAAATGCAGTTATTTTGTAAGTAAACTCTCAATAATACGCACGTTTAAATAAGACCCCATATTTTCAGGTATTAATTTCTGTGTATTCTATCTTTATTCGTAACACTTTTACTGTAAGTTGAGTAACAAAGCTTCAAACAAGGGCTTAAAGGTTAACTGAAACTCTATTTTTACATTCGGGCTTATAGTGAATTGGCATGGTGAGTGCATTTCAAACCACAATGAAACTATTAGTACACAGTAACATCACAAAGGAGGTGAAATTTAAATGTATGTGCAGCACCATATTCTCTTTATTGTCTGTGATTCAGGACGAGGCAACATTGTAAATATGCTTCAGACCAAGCGAAATTTGTTACTGTTAATAGTAATTATTTTAATAAAACCGGCGCATACAAAGTGACAAGTTTTTTAGATACTTTAAAATATTGTAAACAGTCAACAAACTAAAATACACTCATAATAATTAATGTTGTTAGGAGACCATGTTTCTCATTTGCTTATAGTGACTAATGAACAGGAAGGGCTGCTTTCACGTCACAATTCATGTGAACTCTTGCTGTCGCCCATGGCAAGACCAGCAGTTTCTCATTTGCCTGTGACAACATACTGTAGCAACCATATACTGTAGTACTTTCACAGAGCTCCCGATTTTACACTTCATTAATGGTATCGCAACATTTTTCAAATTTTGAATTAATTTATTTTGTTACCGAGATTTTATCACGAGAGTTTTTTTATGATTGCATTTCCTTTTTTGAAAGGTCCTTGATTTTCTCTGCAATCCAGATGACACCACACAACATGCAGAAAGACAGCAGGTACCCTCCTCTACCAATGTTAAGCTGCTTCTTCTATGGCAAGTGCATTTGTTAGAATGCAGGCGAACCGGTGGCACTGTGGGTAAGGATCTGCGCCTGTGGCTGGAAGGTTGCCGGTTCAAATCCTGCGGCTGGCAGAAGAATCCTGCTCCGATGGGCCCCTGAGCAAGGCCCTTAACCCCAACTGCTCCGGGGGCTCTGTACAATGGCTGACCCTGTGCTCTGACCCCAGGCCTCTTTCCCTTTCTGTGTGTCTGTCTCATGGAGAGCAAGCTGGGGTATGTGAAAAGACTAATTCCTAATGCAAGAAATTGTATATGGCTAATAAAGTGATCTTATCTTATCTTATGTAAGCACATAATAAAGGTTACAAACAAGAAGAGGCCATTCAGAGCCATTTTAGAGCCAGCAGGTAATTCATCCAAGGCTTTCATGCAGCCATTTCTTGAAAGAAACCAGGGTGTTGTCTTCAAAAGCATGGCTGGGCAAGTTGTTCCATACCCCCACAACCCTTTGGGTAAAGAAGTACCCCTGATTCCCAGTTTTAATGCACTTCCATATGGTTTCCACCTGTGTGGAAGTTTCCATCGGTTCTTGTTTGACTGCTTGGCTTAAATAAACAATTTTACTTAATGGTTTTAAAATAAAAACACGAACTGAAAGAAAACGGATTACCCTTTGTGAACAAATACGATCAGGAAAGGATTTGATTAGACAATCTTTAACATCAAAGAAATGGGAGAATGGTGTCTTAAATCTAGTAAGGCTAAAATACTGTATTAAACATATATAAACACAAGAATATCTACTTTTTGTACATGTATTTTTTTTATATTTAGCTGCCTATATTGCATCAAAACAGTCCCCTTTTGATGCACACTTTTTATAGTGACCTTGACACTTCAAATGTATTTTTAATCTGGCCAGTGGATATAAAGCTTCTATATTTAAGCAATAGCTTTCAATCAGGTAATTTTTAAACCTTTTTTTTAATTTATTTTTAAATGGAAGGCACACATCTGTCTGCTTTTTTTTGTCTTCACCATTAGTACAAAAAGAATATCATTATTTAGTTTAGCACTCTGTGTGTCCGATGCTAAGATACTGTATATGTTTTTTGGGAAAATCGCATTTAGGTGCTCAGGTTGATTGTCAGAAAAATAATTGTCAAAAGAGGAAGGAGCTTGCTGATATCAAACATTTCGCCCCTCAACGTTTGTGGGTTTTCTTTCCATAAATGGGACCTTAAATATTGCTGGAACCCTTTTCAAAGTTTTGGGAATAAATAAATAACTAAAATAGTAAGCCCATGCTTCAGTGATTAAATGAAGTGGCAAGCAGAGAGGAAATAAACCATGCAGGCTTCACCACAATTGTGCAGGTGCATGTCTGAAATGCAGAGCTACTGTACATCATTTAAATGAGAAGAAATGCATGACTGGCTAAGTGACCTTGAAATCGTGCATCATTTTGAATTTTACAGAAATGTATTTGCAGACGATAGTAGGATCTTGAATTTGCCTTTGTAAATTGATCATTGCAATGTGAGAAGCAGCAGTGTTAAGAGTTTATTCCTCTAATCGGTGATCCAATTTCTTTTTTTTTTTTTTGCTTCTTATTCTTCTAGGCCTTACTGGAGCTTTTGCAGGCAGGGGGTTCCGCTTATTTTGATGAAAGCAAGCTTTTGTCTATGGCCGAGTCTGTACAATTGTAAGCATGCAGCTCTATTTTAATTTCACAACCTGACCTGCAGAAAGGAAGAAAGCTGGGTGTTTGTGCTCATGAAACTGCTGGTGTTGAGCATTCCATGAATTTGAATTTGTCATATTTTATAATCAGGCCCTTGTTTAACAAGTATAACTTACTGCTTGTGACCAGTCTTCACCCCATGTTTCTCTGTTTTATTCATTTCGTTTCTAAGACCTTTTATTGTTTTATACATGTATTTGTTATTATTATAATATTTGTATTTATTTGTAACATAACATACAAAACTGGTCTTTTGTTGAGATGCAGAACATGTTGTTCTGTGTTTTTCTGCTTTCCTTAATTCTTTATTACCTTAAAAGTGGAAGATGTTTTTCTGCTTTTTGTGCAGTCAAACCTGTTCATAGATCTGAAATGAAATTTTTCCTAACAGTTCATTATACTGAATGTGTTAGTGCGTGGATAGTACTTAACAGTATTTATAAATAAAACTTTTTAATCTTCCTGGTACCAACAGGAGTCTGGAGCATGTTTCTTTCATTCTGTAACCTCAGGGCTGTTTTTTTCCATTTTTATCCCCAAAGCTACCAGGTGTGTGAGTTTGTATTTCACGAAAAGCGTCTTTATCACAGAATTTTGGCTTGCTACCTAAAGGATGCTGCAAGAAAGGTAAATCAATTGAAAATAAGAAACCACTTTTCCCTTACTGCGTGTTGTACTTATGCTTTTCCAACCTATTCTGTCTTATGTCAACAGGATCAAGTACTTAGTTACATACGTCAGATTGCAGCACGTGCTGACCTCACAGAGAAGGAAAAAGTGTTGTTTCAAAATGAGTTGTTCTGCAACATACAGGTAAGATGGAGTAGTACTGAATGGACACTGAAAAAGTATTTTCCAGTCTCGGGTATTAGCGTTAGAGTTCTGTGAATTCAAGGAATCAATTTCAAGCATTTTTCAGTATTTTCAGTTTTATTGACTGTTGCATCTTTTGAATAAGAATAGGAATGCTGGAAAGATCTTTCATACTTGGCACAGGTCACTGGGCCTTACAATGGCTAAAAAGTGTGAAGGACATCAATTAATTTTTTGACTCGTTTGCTGCAACCTCACAAGCTCAACATTATTCATCACCCTGGTGCTACCATTCAGGTAGCAGACTTTTTGACTCAACACCCAACCCTGGACGATGATCATTCCGAGGAGCAAGTAAGGTTGGAAAGGTTGTGGAAACCAAGGGAGCTCTGACTGTTCTGTCTGTTCTGACTGTTAGAGTCTAATGTTTGGCCGTCTGGCGTCAGTCATGTGTGACTCTTTTGAAATGACTTCTCATTTTCAGAAGAGAGAGAAGTGATAAAGGGCTGTGCTAGGCCTTTGTCACATGTCAAAAGAGCAGCTGCCAACGTAGGACATTTGTATGTATTTGGTATTTATAAGTATCTATTTTTGTATTACGTGTATTTATGAGTATTCCTGAATTTTTTGGTGTGTGTTACTGGTTGTCGTTACTGGATCAACGATGTTGTCTTGAGCTGGTCAGTTCCATGGTCTTGTATCAGGTTACAGAGCTTGTTGATCCACCCGTCTAAGTGGACATTTACCTGTCCTTCAAGAGGATCAGTGGTGGGGCTTATGGTGTGTACCATGTACTTGGTGGTATAGCAGTTTTGTGGTTGAGTCTTGCCCTTTCTTTTTCGTTTGCACTTGAGTTGTTTACATTTATTAAAGCTGCACTTATTTGGCTCTTTATTTGGTGTTTTATTTGCATTTTTAAGTACTTCGCTGACTACTTCTGTTGGTTAAATAGTGACACTGTCCTACAGATGTGGCATGTTCCAGGTCATCAACAATACTATAATAAAAATGACTGTGATATGATAATAAAGATACATATGCGGTAACATATCAATAGCCTAATAAAACTAACTTTAAATAGTATTCTAACTTCTTTTCTTTATTGTTTGCAGAATGCAGATGGAAATTTTAAGTTCCTTGAAATGAATTTACAAACATTTCCTGACATTTAATAGCTGAAATCCAGTAAATGATCAGACTAGCAAAAATGTGAGTTGAGGGTTCAGACAAGTCTGTGGCTCACAGCTAGACCAAAAATAGATACTAGAGTCACAGGATGTATGCATGCTGTTTAACCCAAGATCTCTCACTCATTCTTCTATTGCAGGAACTCCTGGAACTGAGCCCAGACCAGACGTCTGTGTTAATACTGCGGCACTATCAAGACAGTGTTCCCATCATCATAGAAACCTTGCAAGAGGTGGTATAATGGTTAACAGTCTGTCAGATTTCTAATTTGCTATTAAAGAGCTAGTCTTGCTTAAGAAACATTATTTTACTAAATTAGGAGGTAGGAGGATGGGGAAAAAAAGACAAGCTAAGATTTGACCTTTGGTGAAGGGTTTCAGTGTGTATTTGTGGACTTCTCTGTCTGTAAATTCCCCCACTGCCACCCTGACAGCATGCCCTCACTTTACGTGTACTGCCCAATCATTGATATCAAAGAAGCAGTTGTTATTGTCATGCATTTGTTTAACAAGTAATTTAGAAAATGTATGATCAGAGTTTGCAGGTAGGAAGAAGTGGCAGATTTTGAGTTTGAAATTTAACATTTATGGGTAAATTAAAATCTATGTAATTTCTGCCACTAGGCTTTTGGTTTTTCTACTGTAGGGCTTTTTGATGATAATTGTTGAAAACAGATGTCTGATTTTGTTAAATGTACATGTACAGTGAGATTATGAAGCCATATTTGAATCCATATTAGATAAATTTGAAATTCTTTATGATATCTTCATAGCCTTCCACAATACAGTTTGAGGAAAGAAGGATGCATTTTTAAAATGGACCACAAAATACAGTAAAAGGGATAATGAGTAATAGTTTTAATTATCTTTACTTGCTTTCTGTTTTCAGTTGTACAGTTTTTGTGTTTGCATTATGAAAAGCAAAATAAAATATTTTTGTAAGAAAAATCTCTGTTCATGTCATCTCAGGATTCTAGGTTACTTTTTGACTTCCTTCATGGAGTATTGAACCCCAGGTAAAAAACTAAAAAACTTATGTAAAACCAAAAAGAGAAATACTGTAATTTCTATGAGTGTTTTTACAAACATTCATGATATGTTTTTGGAAATTCTGTAAGTTGATATACAGTATATTGGTCAATTGTTTAGTTTGCTTAATTTAATATGATCTTTGTTGCCACTTGCCTATCGAAGTGGTGTGTTGATTATATCAACCTGGATTGGGAAATATAAATTAATTACTGTATGTCTGAAATCAATGAACTACATTTAAATGGTTTGAGTACATTAAGGTGTATTTCATCTTCAGTATTAGTATGTAACACATTTAAGAAGTGTAAATTCAGTTTCTGTGAAAAGTTATCAAGGAGTGTTGAAAAGCAGGCAGCATTAAGTCTTAATAATAGTTATACTATAGTGATGGGCCTGTTGGCAGAAGAATAGCAATTTAATTCAGCTTTATTATGTTTATCTCTTCCAGAGCAGATCCCTGGCCTTATAAAGACTCAAGTCTCCTAAACCACAAGGTGCATGAGCTGTACTTAGACCTGTTGTGCCAGAACCATCCAGAACAAGCCCTGCTTTTCCTCAAACTCTCAGACTCGTACAGGACTGAGCAGGCAGCAGAGGTATCCAAAATACTGGGGATTTAAATTGCCATCCTTTGTGGGCAACTTGTGATATGTAAACTTTATCTCCTTGTATAGGTAGTAAGGTTTGTGGACACAGAAAGAAGACAATATTTGGTAAAGGATGTGGGCTGTAGATTGAAACAGTGATATAAAACAAAGCATTAAAAGCAGCAAAAAAGAACAACAGTCAATTGAATGGTGCTAGGCGTATAATGCATTTTATCACAAGAGCCAGAATGACTCTTTATTGTGCATCAACTGGTGCACTGTACATTGAAGTGCATGTTTTTACTGTAGAATATTTTCTACTATTGAAATTCAGTTCTGACTATTGTGATTTCAGCTTCAAGACAAAGCTTAAGCATAATAAGTGTTTATATGGAAAAAAAAATATTTAGACTGAATTGGTGCCATAATGTCTCAGGTAAACAGAGTACAGTATAGGGAAAATATAAAGAATGCCCTAAACAATTTTGATTGTAGGTACTCTACTCTATATTGGGAATGTATGAATTGTTTATGATTTCCAAAGTTAAGGATATGATTCACTCCATATTCAGGATTATGATTAAACCAGATTAATCTGCTTTAAAGGTCAGTAATTGCAATCACATTTGTGTCAATCTATTAATACTTTATATTACATGTAAAAAGTGTTTAAAATGACATTTACATCCCCTGACCTAAAGTGTTACCATTATGTGCCTGTGCTAAAATCCCCTTTCAATAAATAAGACAGATCAAAGCTACTAAATTTCTTAGGAGTAGCATTAGTTCAGCACTTACAATACATGCCTTTTGTCTAGAATGTTACAGGTGCATCTGATCAAAAGGGTTCTTTAAATACAATTGCATTTTACGCTTTTTAATAGATTCCTTATGAACTGGTACTAGTCTGTTGTTATTTGTTTTTTTATTATATGTTGTTTTGTGTATTGCTGTTTAATCAACATTGTTGTGAGATTATGTTTATTATATTTTTAGATTGTCCACAAATACAAAGTTTATGATTCACTGGCATACCTACTGGAGAGCCAAGGAAATACACAGGCAGCTTTTTCAGTTCTCTTTGAGGTAAGCGATTAATGGGGTGAAGAAACACTGTGAGTCGGAGCTGAAAGATGGTATCAGGACCAAAACACTAAGAGTATTCACATCCAAATTTAACAGGAAATGTTCTGAAAATTACAGTTGGAATAGTTATTTGTATTTATTGTATACAGCAGATTAACCATTAATGTTAACTGAAATAATCTTAACCTCGTTGAAGAACATAGACAAAATATTTTTAGCTCCCCATAAAGCTTTGATATATACACCTGAAAAGCCACAGGGTCTTTAGTTTCCCCAATTTGTATATAAATGATTATTTAAAAAAAAAAACACTTAATATCAATAATTTATCAGGTTTTATTTCTTCACTGTGTATTTAAATTCTTCAGTATAAAACCTGAGTGTACTGTTGTTTTGATTGTCCATTACAATCTTCCCATAGAATATTCATTTTTCTCCAGGACAAAAACAAGGTCCTAAATCCAAGAACAGCAATCTTAATACTACTTCAACATTTAGCCTATTAGTCATTGTATAATACATTGTGAATATGTCATAGCAAGACTGTTTGGCTTTCTGTATCCTTTATGAGAGCTGTAAAGGTTTTAAATTGTCTGTGAACAGTAAGCATCTTTAATGTCACGTGTCTTTATTGCACAGTAGCAGTTCTTTAAAGTACAAATATTAAGAAATATGTGATTTAAGTAGGACTGTGGTTTTGATTATATCTACTTTCTCATTCTCAGGACCTGAAATCAAGCCTCAACAATTTGACACAGTCTGCCACATGTGCTGAAACAAGCACAGGTTAGTTATGTAAAGGATATACCTCTGAGTTTAAACCAGAATTGTGTGTATGCAATATATTTGTGCAATGCAACGTAAAGTAAATATTTCAGGTGGGTAGCTGCGTCAGCATGCGTAGGCTGCAAAGGAACAAGTAATAGGTTTATTCCATGCTGAAAAAAAAGAAGAAAGAGAACACAACGTTTCTCTTGTGAGCTCACACCTGAAGAAGGCTCCACGGCCGAAACGTTGTGTTCTCTTTCTTCTTTTTTTTCAGCATGGAATAAACCTATTACTTGTAAAGTAAATATGCCTTTTAAGCTGCTCAATCACTTGGATTCATATCCTGTGTTACTCATTGAAACACATGCAACGATATTACTGTGCCTTCTGTAAAGATTAGTTCACATGTCACATGCCTGCCCATAAACCTGTCTATTGAAATAAAACAAAAGGCTTTTCCCTGGTGTCCATTGGAAATCTTGCAAAGAAAGCTCATTGAACTTTTAACA